CACAAAAGGGTTCAGACCTCTGCTACACACACACACACACGGGGGTAGTGGCAGTGAATCTACATCTCGTATAGAGACGGTCCAGACCTCCGCTACAAACACACGGGGGTAGTGGCAGTGAATCTACATCTCGTATAGAGACGGTCCAGACCTCCGCTACACACACACGGGGGTAGTGGCAGTGAATCTACATCTCGTATAGAGACGGTCCAGACCTCCGCTACACACACACGGGGGTAGTGGCAGTGAATCTACATCTCGTATAGAGACGGTCCAGACCTCCGCTACACACACACACGGCGGTAGTGGCAGTGAATCTACGTCTCGTAGGGACGGTCCAGACCTCCGCTACACACGTTTAAGGAATGCCTAAATGGTAAATTCTTGCAAGCGGAGGAAACGCTTTGGCCAGTAATATTTCTGCAACAGCGACAGTTTCCTGTGACTCACTTTATTAGTCCTATGTACCTCTAAATATCATTGATCGTCTCTGGTGTACATAATAATTATTAATATCGTTCCAGTTTATACATGTACATACACCGTGATCGTAAACGCTCATCATTGCAAATTTTACACTCCTCTCTCTCTCTCTCGCTCTCTCTTTAACGCGTGCATAACACACACGCCTGGTTCGCAATAATCTATTTTCGTAGTGTCACGCTTAATATAGAGTGACTATGTATATATATATATATATAGCATCATGATAATATAACAGGTTATACAAGTCTAACGGCAGCGTGTTTAAATTTTCATTCGTTTCTACGCGCGCGAGCGACCGCACCGCTTTAATTGATACCCACGGAAGGATCGACACAATATGTACCCAGAGTTTCCCACGGCCACCACTAGATGACACCACCAGGCACCCAATGGAGGTCACGACCTCGCAGTGGCGGCTATTTGCATTCTTCTCTTGGCAAAGAATTTGGCTTTGGATCACTTGTTTTTTTCTTGATCTCCAAACAGGCGTCTAGCGAACGTCGTCTAACGGCGGGTCGTAACGACATCTTGCCGCGTCGGTTGCCGCGGGAACGACAAACTCTCTGCTGCCGTGCGTGCGCTCTATTCACATGCGAGAAGAACAAGCTAACAGGACTCTCTAAGAGCGAGACGATTCGGACCGCTCCCAATAATTTAACGATTACGCTCGTCGCGCCATCCGAACGCGGTCCGTAGATATACCTATCATTAGATAGGATGGAACTATCACTAGATAGGATGGAACTATCACTAGATAGGATGGAACTATCATTAGATAGGATGGAACTATCACTAGATAGAATGGAACTGTCCGTTACTAGTATGGTACGTGCGTTTGGCAGCAATTCCTAACTGTGATGACGACGACGACGATAATAACAACAACGACATCAATGATGATGACTTTCCTAGATAAACTTCCTGATCTTGTGATGCAATGCAACGACGCAAACAAAACGAGAGAAAAGAAAAACGCGAGTTTTCCCGATCGCGACCCCCTCCCACTGACCGCGGCGGGTTACGTAGCACAGGGGGTGGTTGCCGTGGAGATTACCGCCGGGGCGTGCGCGCATAAAAAAAGGAAAACCGACGTACTCAGAGACGCGAGCGAAAAGAAATGAGAAACGTCAAACTGACTAACGAACTATGAATTAACGATTCCTCTATAGCTCTCTCTCTCTCTCTCGCTAGTGCTAACAGACACTCATTATTGCAGTGTAATCAGGAAGGGCGCGCGCGCCGATGCTGCGGACGTGCCCCATAAATATTTATAATCACAGGCGCCTCGCGCGCGCGGCCACCGCCAGAGGGCGCCACGGTGCGCAGACGCCGACGTCTACTACGCGGGACGTCCGGTCGTCGCCGCGGTTACGCCGTGCCGTCGCCGTGGTTACGGGGCCTTATCGCGGGCGCTCCGGGACACGCGGTGGAATGGTAGGTACGGGGCGACTGTAACAAACAAAATATTTATATCAATATATATATATATACCTGGTATATATATATAATAATTCGATATAAAAAATAAATAATAAAAAATACATCAATTAATCGCGAGTTACTCGGCAAAACGAAATCGACGGTCGAACCGAGAAACGGCTGCGAGGTACGATCACGATCACGCGCACATTTATTACCGTCACGTTTTCACGAAAAATTGAATAAACGGCATCACTTTAGTTGGGAGCAGTTCACGACGACAACGAACATGACTTAATACCGTTAATTTTAAAACCGTGACTATATAAATATTCTGCTGCACGACCGAATAATAACGACTTCCCCTTTCTAATTCCGAACGGTCACACACAAAATTTTCGACGACGGCGACAAACGGACGGTCCTCACTAAAGCTGGGTTTACAGTACCAACTTTATGTTGGCGAATTGGCGAATTGGCGAATTGGACCAACTTCCCAATAGAACAATACAACTGACAATCGGCAGTGTGAACACAAAAGTTGCGCGACCAACCGATCGATAGCAGCTAGTTGGGAGATTAGAACATGTTCTATTTTTGCCAACTTGGAGTTGGCAAATTGGGAAGTTGGTCTAACTCGCCAATTCGCCAACATAAAATCGGCAGTGTAAACCCAGCTTTAGCAAGAAAAAAATGCGTAAGGCAAAACAAGAGGCGGCCTCTCTCGGCCGCTCGCTCTCCTGCTCGGCTACTTACGAGGGAATCAGCGGGGGAGGTAGAGAAGGGGGACCTCCGCCCGTGCGCTGGGGGACACCCGGTGGAACGCCTGTAAAAAACAAACGGAGATGCGTTGAAGGTTGACGACGCCGACGAAGGTTGACGATGACGACGAAGGTTGACGATGACGACGAAGGTTGACGATGACGACGAAGGTTGACGACAAAGACGAAGACGAACTAGAGAGCGACGCTTCACGACGCTTCGCGATTCTAGAAAAGTGGCGAGCTAAACCCGCGACTAGAAATCGGATCGCGAATCAAAACAAGTGCCCGCAGAGCGACAGCGCTCGACTGTCGTGTACTGTAGCCGGGTATTCTTCTGATAAACTCACTGGCAACGTGTTAACATTGTTTATAGTCTAAGACATAAATCCCCGATGACATTAGAAACCTGCGATTAAATTTCCTCTGGAATAAATTAATTCACTCCTTCGCTACTCACAAGTCATCACTCGTCGCGAACGTAGTGCTTCGCCGAATCCCAGCTATGCTAATGTATGCGCGAATGGACGCTGCAACGTTGGTCGATTGACTGGCAATAGAATATATCCTTCGTCGTTTTTATACGTTTCACGGAAGCCGGCGCAGCGCTAGACCAGCACTTGTGCATGCGTAATATCTGCATTATAAAATTATTCAACTTCGCTCTTCAGCATCGCGTTGACGATTCCCGAATCCCAGCTCTATTGCTAATGTATGGTGCGAATGGCGCCTGCAACGTTGGTCGACGTTGACTTGCCAATAGAATTTTCTTCTGCCGTTTTTAATACGTTCGACGGAAGCGGGCAGCAGGCTGACAGCCACGTCGTGCATGCGTAAAATATCTGATATAAAATATTCACTTCCGTCTCAGCATCGCGCGACGATTCCCGAATCCCAGCTATTTGCACTAATGTATGGGCGAATGCGGCTGGCAAACGTTGGTCCGAACGTTTGACTGGCAATTAGAATTCCTTCGGCCGTTTTTATACGTTTTGTTCGACTGGAATGCGGGCAGAGCTGACAGCACAGTGCATGGGTAAAATCGTGGTTATAAAATATTCACTTTCCGCTTCTCAGCATCGCGACTCTCGCGAATCTGTGTATTCTTCCGGATACCTCCCAGGCTATGGACCTAATCGTCTCAATTGCGGACAGACGAATGGTGCGCTGTGCATAAATACGGTTAGGTCTACCGCATCTCGATCGAACTTACTAA